GTCAATGTTATATGCCAAAAAATAGAATGCTAGAGAATAGAACCAAAGTCCATGAAATTCTGGACAAGTTCCAGAAGTACACCTTTAATTTAAAAAATAGCCCATTTTTTGACACATTAACATTCTTGTATACAACCATCAGGTTAGGCGCATTTTTGCCAATAACTCATTAAAATCACTAAATTAAACAACTAGTCTATAAATTCCTAACTTTGCTGTACCACACCTTCAAAAAAAAAACTTATAAGTAGAATGTATCTATGCAATATAAAATACTGACTGAAATAAATGTGTTTTTTTTCTGTTTTCTAAAACATCTGTGGTGAAATCTGTCCTATGTTTGAACTCATTCAATTCCCATCCTTCTCTCCCCTCCCAACCACGCCTGATAGAAATTCTTTCTCAAACTAATATAAACCTCCTCAATTTGCCATTGAATACACGATGCCTACTTCTACACTAAGCATTCATCTGTTTTTCCCCAACATCTCATTGGCCAAAACAGCCGTAGCTTTGTTTGAAATCTCAAACAAAAGGATTAAAGATACATAAAATCATCTGCTCTCATCTTCAATCATGGACAGGAAGAGCAGAGAAGCTAATACATTCCTCTTGAAAACACATACACATGAATACACTTTGTTCTTCCCCAAAATACCAAAAGGATAACAGACAGCAAATCATGCCCACAAACCAAAACACAGTTGTTTCATCTAATTTTAGAAAAAAAATAACAAGGAACTGGAGAAAATTTCTCTCTGGAATAACTCAATCCTCAAATCAGGGAAATTCAAAGAGCATAACATGGAAAAACCAACAGCCTCAATTCTCCCCTTCAGGATACTAATTCTATCAGCACCAAATGAAAACAAAGAGTATGTTTTTAGAAGATCCCAAAAAAGTATGAAATCTCTTTCTCAAAGAAGGAAAAAAAAGACCACTTAGAGAGAACATATCTAAATGTATTATATTTCAAGCACAGGTGTTCTGTGATTCACCTCAAACCGGTTTCTTTTTGTATCATATTCTTTTTTTTTTTTTTTCCTTGAGTAGGCTCCACACAGCTCAGAGTCCATCTTGGAGCCTGAACTCAAGACCCTGAGATCAAGACCTGAGCTGCGATCAAGAGTCAGACACTTAACTAACTGATTGAGCCATCCAGGAGGGCCCCATATTCTTTTATAGTCAAGCTTGTAAACTTACTTGTTTAAAAACAAAAAGACCAAATTATATCATCTATATCCAGAAGTATCCTTTATTCATAGTTTAAAGTCTCATAGCCAGGTGTTTGTTATTTGATTAATTTGCCCAGCCCTGCAATACAGTTGGTTCTTCCCTTTCTGGAAGCTGTGAACTAAATCCAGTATAGCTGTACTTGAGACAAGCAGTCTCAAGCATTTTGTAAATATACCACAAAATTTTGCTTAATCTGAGAAAATCTTGTACTCCTTTCCCTGGAACCTTCAAGAATAGAGAGAAAATATAAATTACAATCTATTGTTTTTGGAGGGAGTAATGCTCATATTAAGGACCTTCATACCATCTCATAAGAAGAGAAACGTTTTTCTTTAGTAATCCTCAGGAATTTGTCCAAAATAAAAAACATGGGGGCGCCTGGGTGGCTCAGTGGGTTAAAGCCTCTGCCTTCGGCCCAGGTCATGATTCCAGGGTCCTGGGATCGAGCCCCGCATCAGGCTCTCTGCTCAACAGGGAGCCTGCTTCCTCCTCTCTCTCTGTCTGCTGCTCTGCCTACTTGTGATCTTTGTCTGTCAAATAAATAAACAAATAAAATCTTTAAAAAAAAAAAACCATGGATTTAAACTTGTATCCAGAATTCAGGTTAACTAGGTAAAACTGGCATTAACAGAAGATAGCTGAATAAGAGTAAACTGCAACAGATTTATACAGAAATTTAATGTGTCTTTAAAAGGACTTGGGGAGGAAGAACAATTTTTTCAGAACAGTCTTATGTCTATCAACTATTATTACATTAAGCCTGTATTCTGGTATTTTTGCTATCAAGAGTCCAGGGAAATACAAGATACAAATTCCACAAGGCACAGACCTCTTCTCCCAATTCTTTTTAAAAAATTAGTCATTAAAAGATCTTTTCTAATGAAAGACATGTACTCTTTCAAACCAAGACTAAGTTCAGAAACCTCACTAAGGTATAACAATATATTAATAAAAGGGTTTTATGTTAATAGACTTGGGTTATGTTTCTCATTGGGTTATATGGATCATAAAAGTTCCTAAGGGGAGCCTGGCTGTGTCAGTCAATAGAGCATGCAACTCTTCTCTTGATCTCCGGGTCATAAACTGGAGCCCCACACTGGGCACAGAGATTACTTTAAAAAAAAAAAAAAGAAAAAAGAAAAAAGTTCCTAGAATAACTGTCCAATTGGATGAGAAAGTGAATGAATTTTTTTCTAAGTATGTATAAGATAAGCAGTCTCAGCATTTTTGAAATGTATCACAGGTCCCAAAGTTATTTAAACTACACCAAGGAAATGCTAAAAATTCCCAAAGGTTCTAATCAATGCCCTATTTATTCTCCACATTTATTCTCCACTTGCTCCATCAAACCCCCCACCCCTCCTATGTATGCTCTGTTCCTGCTCTGGGAAGATGAGCCTGCGTAGATCACCACCTAAGCTCCGCAGGTGGGTTCCAGCAGTGCAAGCCAGTGTACAAGACCCAAAGACAGAGGGAGCAGAGGTCATGGAACTTCCCCCTCCCCTCCCAGCCTGACTGCCTCAAAGCCACAGTTCCCTGGGGCCTTCCTCCCCAATGCCAGCTCTCCACTCTCAGTTTTGGTAATCTCTGAAGTATTAAGGGCTTCTCACCATTGCTATTCCCTGGGTGCCCCCCCCACCCTTGTTTGTTCTCTAACCTCTATAATCTCTTATTTGCACCATCCAGGATGAAATCCCTTTCCTGCTGGCAGCTTGCCTGATGAAGCTAACAATACCAAAGCTGGTTAACTCAAAACAGTACATTATCTAAAGAAATCCAATTTAAAAAGTTTAACAAGGTCTTAAGATCTATTCAAGTACTACTTATTATTATTTGTATAACTTTAAAAATTAAATATAACTAGCTCACTTCTAAATGAAGCTTGTTAAAAGCTGAAAAACTCATTACAATTAAAGTTAGGTGTGCAATTTAACACTGCCCCTCTCAAAGATAAATGCTTATAAACCCCAAATAAACTTAATACACACACACACACACACACAATCAAGAAAGGGATTCCGGTAACTGATATTTCACTTCCTTCTACCATACACTGCCTGGTTAATCCAAACACTTTTTGTTGTTTTACTGAAGCCTTCCCAGGCATAGGATAAAGAAAAGTTTTAAACCAGTGGTTCTCAAATTTTGGTGTGCAAGTAAATCAACCGAGAAACTTGTTAAAATGCTAGTGCCCAGGCCTCACCCACACCTTTCTGACAAATGTTTTTACCAGTTCCCAGATAATTGTGATTAACACTACACTTCAAAACTTCTTCAATTCGGCCAACTTTAAGATTCCACCGAAATCTCCAATACACATTTTTCTTTTTGAATAAACATTCCACATTAAACATGGCCAAAGAAACCAAAAAACAAAAACTAACACAGTAACAATAATAATGCACACTAACTACACATCACGGTGATATGTGTTTCACATGTATTATTATCTAATTCCTTCCCCACAAGAACCACACCAGGTAGGTAACACTGTTGCCTCCATTTTATAGATGAGAAAACTGAAGCCCAGAGACACTAAGTAATTTGACTACAGTAGTGACTGGCAAAACCAGAATCATCTTAGGTCTGCCAGTCCCTCTTATCTACAGGCTGGGTAAGCAAGCACTTGTATATAAATGCAACTCTGCAGTTTCAGGACTGTCACAAAAAGGATTACACCTAAGGGCCAAGCAGTTACACAAGCAATAATCATCCCCATCCACTCCCTCCCGACAACAAGCTCTCTTGACTCTCCACCCATCACTCACCAAGGCCTTCCACCTACACAGTATGCCATCACATACTGGTAGGACATCACAACTCTGCGTGTATATCAGTACTCCTTCTACTCCTACCTACTACATGCTAAGTACATCCAAATTCCATCTCCATCAAGTACTGGCTATGAGCTTGAGCAAATTTAACATCTTATGCCTCTGTTTCCCAATCTGTAAACTGTGGGTCATAATGTCAAATGCACTAAAGTAAGTCATGTAGTGATTAACTGAGATAATGTACACAAAGTACTTGCTTGACACACAAATACATAGCAAAAACTCAATAAACGATAGCTGCTAATCCAACATATCAATCCTATATTCCCTTTATTTTATCTTAGCCTTGTGTTCCTGAGACTCTGATGAAGACGGAACATACTCTTACTTATCAGGAGCAGACTGGTAACAGTGAACTGAAGGCCATTGAGTAAATAAGTCTTTTAGTAACCCTCAAATTCTACCACTTTGACAACTATCTATTTCCCAACTTTAGGGTCAGCCCTGTTGATTACATACTACTATTAAGAGTCTATAATTTACCTTAATTCAAAACAACAATAAAATACCACTTAGCACAGGAACTTGGTCTTAATTTATCATGGTATCATTAGCACTTAGCACTGTACCTGGTTCATGGCAGACACTCAAATATTTGTCAAATAAATGAAGGCATAAAGATACCAATACAGACACATATTAGCTCATTAGTGAATCTTTACAAAAACAAGCATAATTATCAGGTCAATACCAATGTGTCAAGTAACAAAAAAGTTATTTTCAAAATTCCCCCAGAATATTTTTCTCCTTTTTTTTTAAAGAACAAAACTGCGTGTGTGTGTGGGGGGGGTGTGTGGTGTGTGTGTGTGTGTTACAAAAACATAAATCCAAGCAGGCAATGAAATAAACATATTTTTTTAAGTGTCCCATCCTGGGTTTTCTGTCCTAGAATTTAGTAAACAGTTCAAGTTTAGGTTGCTCTTCTGAATGCTAAGAGGTCTCCATCTTATAACCAAGTTTCTGTAGTTCAGCTCCTGATTGGAGAAGTTATCATCTACATTGTCTTCATCCCAATCATCCTCCCAGACATTTGCACCTTCATCTTCATCTAAACCAGCCCAGGGAACTCCTTGAACTCACCATCTTCCTCCAAGAGACCCAAGTCTACTAGCTGCATTTTTTCTGACATAGCGACCATCCCCTCTGAAAACCCCCCAGGCTGAGAGGAAAGTTGGAACTCTGACTTTTCCTCACAGAAGACACCAATGCTGCTGCCATCTCTGAAGTCAGCTCTACCACAGAGTTCTCCTTTCTTTTTATTTACCTTTTTTTAAAGATTTTATTCATTTATTTGACAGACAGAGATCACAAGTAGGCAGAGAGTCAGGCAGAGAGAGAGGGGGAAGCAGACTCCCTGCCGAGCAGAGACTCTGACGTGGGGCTCGATCCCAGGACCCTGGGATCATGACCTGAGCAGAAGGCAAAGGCTTTAAAACACTGAGCCATCCAGACACCCCTCCTTTCTTTTTTAAAACAAACCATGGGCTTTCCTTTAAAAACTCTCCAACCAGGGGTTCTGGGTGGCACAGATGGTTAAGCGACAACTCTTGGTTTCAGCTTAGGTAGAGATCACACGGTCATGAAATCAAGCCCTGCAGCAGCTCTACACTCAGCACAGAGTCAGCTTGAGATTCTCTCTTCCTCTCCCTTTGCTCTCCCTCCCCAAACTCATTCACCTGCATATGCGCGTGCATGCTCTCACTCACTAAAATAAAACAATCTTGAAAAACTCTCCAATGAGAAAAGTTAATCTCCAACCTTAGCTCCATTAATCTACTAAAATGTTAAAGGAGCCCCATAATAATGCATCCTGCTCATCTCCTACCTTATATTCAAACAAGAACAAAAACAAACCTAGTAAGTATTTAACAATTATCACTTTAGTGATGCTGACTTTTCATAATTTTTGGAACCATCCAAATTGAAGCCACAAAATTAAGTAACTGCTCATTAAGAGGTTAACCCTAACACCTAGAAGATAACTGTGATCTACTATGGGAATACACAGAAGTTCCCTTCTTAGCTATGTTTCTAAGCAGCCACATAAGTAACCTTGAACAAGGCACTTAATTTTTTTTTTTTGCCAACATTTTATCATCTGCAGAATAAGAGTAAGTTTACCACATCTACTTCAACAAGGTGTTTTAAGGACCAAAGATACATAAAATGATTTCCAGACCAATAAAGTGCCATACAAATGTAAGTTGTTAAATCTGATATAAATATCATCAGATTTTAAATGGGTATTTCTATTCATCTTTCTTTTTATGTCTCTGTCACTCTTTATATTTCCTAGATCCAACGATCTGCCAGTAAAAAGAACCAGTTCCCACGTACAGTCATATTTCAAACAGACTAGGCCCTCAGTAAATATTTGTTGAGAAAGATGTTCATCCACATATAATAGAAATTTTAAAATTCTGCTCTATGCAAAACCTTACCTTGTAAAGGTTAAGCAGCAGGTTACTTTCAAGTAAAATAACAAGTGATGTAACTTACATAAAAGATGCCTGTGGTTCTGTCAAGAGCACCACCTTCCTTTGTGCACATTACTCAGCCTGGATATAAATATTCACCTATGTGAATATCACCCAAGGAATGTTCCTCAGTATTTTGGTTTCACTGGAGGCATGCCTTCTGTACAGAAAAGTACTTCCCTTCTCTTTAACACTAGCAAGTTTTCTAAAGATGTCTGAGTTGTTCTTCTGGTTTTACAGTCTATGCTTCAGCACTTACAGGGAGAACTTTTTGTGGACTTGTGGTCATTTCCCAAATTACCATGTCATTCTTATACTAAATATGAAAAGTTTTCTTTCAAGACCATAAACAGAAAAAAAATTCTCACATCCACATTTTAAGATTACAGATAGTCCAATTAAATTTGTCAAATAAAAGTATAGCTGTTTCAAATGATAAACTTCCTGGTTCCTCTGAATATTATTATATAATTCCTCAAAAACAGAATTTAAGCTTATTTGACCTTAGTTAGTTCTTAATTATCTACACATACATACATACACACATGCAGATGTCTTATAGATAATCCATTAATAATTTATATTAAGCTCTTGGATGATAAATTTTTTATTTACAGTTGAATATGAGTATCCTTGAGATGCAAAATTCCTTAGAGTTCAAACCAAATAATGAAACACCTGTAAATGTAATCACCCAACTCAGCATTCTTATCATTTTTCTTCTCATTTACCCAACTACATTCTACTGCTGAAATGACTCCTACTTTGTGACAAAAGATGGACTTTGTATACTCATTTTTGTCCTTTGTGTCTATTACACCTCAAGGGACATTCCTGAAATAAACATAGGCCATAAAAAATTGTCCTAATAGTACAGGTGAGAATAGTACAGGTGAGAATTTAGTCATACTTTGAAAACAAGCCCCCTCACAAGGATTACAAAGTTAATTATGCAATATTTTTAAAAGACAGCTACTGCATTTATGGACAACGATCTCTTATTGGAAGAAAATATAAAGTTCTATCTGAAACAAAAAGACTATACTATTCATTTTATCTACAGTGAAAACCAGTGTTACATTACAGCCTAATTCTAACTCCTATAAACCCATCAAAATAAAAAGTGCACAATTTGTATAATATTCTGGAATTTACATCAGAAATGAGAAAGCAACACCTTATCACTGTCAAAGTTGTCAACCTAAGAATGAAAAAAACCAGAAAATTCAACATCAGTTTCAGAACCACATTCATGACCTATATCATCCTCACTCCTATGTGCCTTCTTCAAGTTACATTCTTTAACACAATACCAGTTCTGCAGGTTTATTTGAGCAGTCTACCAAATGAACTGAGATCAAGGAAACCTGGTCTGGTAGAAAAGACAGGGCTTCATGGTCAGAAGACTTAGGTGTGAATCCAGACTTTGCTCCTCTGGAGTTGTAAGACCTTGAGCAAATATTTAATTCTCTAAGTTTAAATTTCTTCATATGTAAAAGGACAAGACCACCAACCTTGAAAATTATTTTATAGATCAAATCCCTCAGTTAGTGTTCTGATTATGGCAGATGCCTAATAAAGGGGTAATGAACTTATGCTATTCAAGTTCAGAAATTATTATGAAGTACCTCATTAAGGGGATCATAAACTATGAAAATTATTAAAGCTGTAATATCTTTTTCAGTCTTTTACTGAAAATGTTTTAATATACAAAAACGAAAAATTCAGAGAGGTTAGAAATCTTTTTAAAACTGATATTTTTAAATATCAAAATGAAGCTTCAATTATCACCAGGGAAAACGGGTTCATTTTCCATAAAATGTTTTGGGTGTTTATATTTATTCAAACTTCACATGGTCAAAAATTTTAAAACTTTCTGAAAAGAGCTGTACTTTAGAACCCAGAGACAGCCCAGTTATCTAAACAATGGGCTACATGATACACCACAGTCTCCAGGCAGTCACAACAGGATGAGAAAAGAGCCTTCAGTCTCTCTCAGATTTCCTGGCCACTGTTATTTTAAAACTTGATCACATAAACATAAACAGAGGGAAAAGATCCACTTCAGATAAGTGCAATGAGTTATGATTTACGATCTCTGTTTTTAATACCTTGCATTAATTTACATTTTTATTTGTAATTGATGTAATTTAAAAAAAGCTCTTGTTCAGTAGCACCCATATAAACATAATGTAATTTGCATTACATTTTTCTTGCTCATGTTTCTAGACCCTAATGAAGAATATATGCATATTACAGTTTTATAAAAGGTATACTTAGAGTTTTTAATCATGATAATCTTAAAGTCATTCATCACTTCTGTTACTCCCTTTTAAAATGTCTTTGAAAACGAAAACGTAATTCAAACTGGGAGAACAATTTCCACAGGACACATAGAATATACAAATGCAATAGGCAAGTCTAAGACTAGAATGACTTCTGTTTACCACTGTGGGTATAATTCCTGCGCAACTTCAGATACTCAAAATGAGCTGGATATTTAAAAGTCAATGAGTTATTTTGAACGGCTGCATTGTTTCAAGCTCTGGCTATGGCCCAGTTTGTAATATTTCTAAAATTAATGATAAAAAACACCAAGGTAATTTTTCCACTGAACAATTTCCAACTGTAAAACCACAGCCCAACATATCTATGAAGTTTAGTTAATTAGTACAGATATGCTGTTTTGGCTGCCAACCTTTGTACCATGACCACTCCAGCCCAAGTTCAAGATTCACATTTTATGGTGTGAATAGTTTCAAGTAAATCTTAAGAATTTCTAAAACTCTCAAACCCTGACTGTATACATGAAGATACACTGCATCTACACCACCAGAGCATAACAGCAAATGGAACTTTTGCTTAGCATGTACAGCGATCTGTGAAGTTGGGACAGTGTTCCTAGTTGTTCACTAATATCTGTAAATTAGGATGTAAGCATTCCTCCACCACAACTTTATGCCAGATAAAATATCACCTGTTTTCTTAAACTGTATAGAAATGGTATTTCTGGGGCACCTGGGTGGCTCAGTGGGCTCTGCCTTGGGCTCAGGTCATGGTCTCGGGTGTCCTGGGATCGAGCCCCACATCCGGCTCTCTGCTCAGCAGGGAGCCTACTCCCCCCCCCCCTCTCTGCCTGCCTCTCTGCCTACTTCCGATATCTCTCTCCGTGTGTCAAAAAAATAAATAAAATCTTTAAAAAAAAAAAAGAAATGGTATTTCTGACACGGATATTCTAGTAATAACCCTACCAAATTATTTTCTACTTAATAATACCTTGCTCCGGAGTTGGAGCATTTTAAGGTTTTAAGGAGTTTGGGGAAATTAACAAATAAAAGCTCTTCTTCAGTAGCACCTATATAAATTAATATACTCAAAGTACTAGACAACCTGAAAACTAAAATTACAGTGTTTGACTGTCCCAGCCTGGTCTCCTACATGATTAAACTATTAATTTAATAGTGGCAGTCACCTGATCCTCATATCTCAGAACAAACGGCCCTATTCCTACACTGAATTTTAAGCTTGTTTACTTAAAAGAAAACTATCACGGAGTGTCAAGTCAGAATGGGTCACCTGAGAGCTCTGCTTCTAACTGGGATTGAGAGTAGATACACAAAGGTATCTTGGTGACGATAAACCCATGAAAGGG